GGTCTCGGGAAACCCAAGTGGGTCACGCAAGTCCCTGGGGCGCAGTTATACTCCCCAAAGAAGCCAAGGTTCCCCTGCCTGACCCGGGGCCAGAACAGACACAGGAAACAGGGCCGGACCATGTCCTCAAAACGCCAACAGGCTGGAGGAGGGGAACGATGCGGGAAAATTCCAAAATGGAAAGTCCCAACTTGGAATCCTATGTGGATCCAAACCCAGGAGGCAGCGCCACTGAGGACAAGGAGGCAGGAAGCCCCCAGGGCAGCCACATGGGGCGGACTGGCCTCAGGGTCAGTCTCGGAGCTGCCATGGGCATTGGGCAGGCAGCTCGACCTCGCTGGGTCCTGCTGCTCCATCTGTAAAACGAGGATGAGCACGTGCCTGCCTGATGGGGTCACGAGGCTCCGCGACAACGTGTGCAGGCGTGACGGGATGCCTGGGGCTGGAATGCCTGCAAGGAGCACGGGAGCTGCAGTGGGGAGAGGCGGCGGGCCTCCGCTAACCACCATCAGGGCCCAGGTTAAGCTCAGCGCCCTCTGTGTACCTCCCGGCAAAATGTAGGCCTGTGCGGCCACCAGGCATCTCTTAAAAACCGTGCTCACCACCCACGCCCTCAGCCCAGCCCAGCAGCTTCTGAGGCCCAACTGCGGGCCAGCTCCTCTCTTCCGAGCCATTGCAGTGTCCCTGGCTCTTCCCTGTGTCCAGGCTCGGCCCTCCCAGACACTCACGCTGTCCGTCTCTCAGCATCGCCCGGTCTCTCCAGCTGTGCCTGAGTTTTCAAGTTCTCAGTGTGAGGGCCTGACCCTGCCCCCAGGGAGGTTAGCAGAGCCTGGGTGTTCCTCCTCCAGCCACCACCCGCTTCTGCAGACGCCGGGACGGGATGCAATGAGGCCAGATGCCCCAAGGTTGCCCAGACACCCTGAGGGCATCCCAGCAGAACCCCAGCCGTGCCAGTGGGCCATCCAGGTAGCCGCGTCCAGCAGGCAGCTGGGGGCGGGGGTGAGGCTCAGGAGTGGGGGGCTGTTGGGGCCGTGGGTCTGGGAGTCATCAGCACGGGGTGGGGTTGGAGGGGAACAGACTGTCACCTGTGGGGAGGGAACCAGACATGGGCTTCGGGGCACGTCAACATTTAGAGGCTCCATAGAGGATGAGGACATGCAAGGGAGAGTGAGGGACAGCCAGGGTGGGACGAAAGGCAGGAAGAAGAGATGCTGCTGCGTGGTCACGGAGGCTGGAGGGCGGCGGGCAGTGACAGAGGGGACAGGGCAGCCTTAGGGGCAGTTTCTTTAAATAATAATAAGTTGTGCACTTTGTGGAATCTAAATTATAGCTCAATAAAAAGAAGGAAGACCGTGTGGAGGAGAAAGAGCTATGAGCTGCCCAGCAGTCCCGCGCTCAAGGCTGTGGGCAGGAGCTTGAGCGAGGCCGCGCAGTGGGAGGACGTCAGGCCCCGCGAGGGCGCAGCCTCCCCCGTGAGGTGCAGGTGCTCCGCTGAGGGAGCACGGGGCGAAGGCACAGAGAACCCTGGAGGACCACCCTCAAGAGGCTTCCTGGAAGAGGAGCACGGAGCCCAGGTGTCAGGGGAGACAGAGACGGGCCTGGCGGGCGATGGCCAGGTCCAGGCAAGAGACAGTTCTGGGAGGCACAGCCGGGGGAGTGTGACAACTACAAGACATGACGGCACCGCTCACAGCCACCACCCTGGAAGGCGCGGGGACCACAGCTGCCTGGAGCGGATGAGCCACACAGGGAACACTGCCCCCGGCTGGAGAGACCCCACCTTCTGGGAGGCCCTCCACAGAGCCTGACCCAGGGCAGGAAAGGCCCCCTGGGTCCCTCGCCTGGGAGCTGAAGCCTCGTTCTGCACCCACCAGCAGACATTTGAGAACAGGCCCCCGTCTGGCTAGGAGGGAGATGCCCGAGGCACCAGCCTCCCCACCCCGGGCCCGAGGAGAGCGGAGCAGAAAGGACACAGAGCGTCCCTTTGTGCGAATGGCGACACTGCCTGCAGAGGTGCCCGGAGGAAGCACGTCCAGCAACACGCATGACATCCCGCAGCTGCAGGGCCCAGCCACCAACAATCCCAAAGGTCTGCACACAACATGTTTGACGGCCGAGGACGCTGAGCGCCAGAGGGAGGAAGGACTCACCCAAGGTCACAGAGTTAGTGGAAGGAGACCGGCCGGCAAAATCCTCAGGCTGGGAGGGTTTACAGGTGGGTATCACGTGAGCATCCCGGGCTCCTGGGCCTCAGAGCTCAGCACCCTGAGCCGTGGCCCCTGGTGGAAACTGTAGCTTTAACTGGAATTCCCGGTGTGGCCCCGTCAGACCCTGCGTCCCTGGAGCTGGTGACCGGGAGCAGAGCTTGTCTGTTCCAGTGTGTCTATTTTTCTGTCACCTGTTCCAGCTCCTCGCACCCCCGAAGCATGAAGGACTGGGGGCGTCTAACCCCAGTTTCTCCTAACAGCCATCCAGGCTCTTCCTGGTGGCCCCGCTTCCCCTGTCAACGTCACCTCAGAGTGAAGGCTCACACCACATCTCCGTGGCTCAGAGGCACCTCCGCCCCTGCCCAGGCCCCACTCTGTGTTCCCCATGAAGGGCAGGTGACCGGGGTTCCTCTGCTCCCCCTCTGCAACTTCAGCACAGTAAGAGCCGGAGGCAGAAGCTGAACTGACCTTCTCGGGGGGACTCCCTCTTCATGGTGGGTGAGGGTAGATTCAGGCTCAAAATGAGGGAGGATGTTTGCATAGTCAGCACTTTCAAAAATCCTAATGAGACAGTGGTTTCATAAGGTAATGAGTGTCCTGTCATTGGGGGTATTCAAGCTGAGGTTAGACCACTACTGGAAGGGATGTCATAGACAGCTGGCTTAGAGGAACTTCAAGGTCCCCCTTCCAATCCTGAGAGTTTCCGGTCTCTGCCATCTCCGTCCTCCCCCTTGCTGTCAATTGGCCCCATTTGCCTGGGCAGTTCGTGCACAGGAAGCCACCACCCCAGGGGCCAGCCCAGTGGCGCAGCGGTTAAGTTCACACGTTCCGCTTCTCGGCGGCCCAGGGTTCGCCGGTTCAGATCCTGGGTGCGGATATGACACCGCTTGGCAAGCCATGCTGTGGTAGGCGTCCCACATATAAAGTAGAGGAAGATGGGCATGGATGTTAGCTCAGGGCCGGTCTTCCTCAGCAAAAAGAAGAAGATTGGCAGTAGTTAGCTCAGGCCTGATCTTCCTAAAAAATAAAAAAAAGAAGCCACCACCCTACTTGTGAGGGGCTCCACGGTTCTCTTTACGTCATCACTACTCTTGCAGGAATGGCTTGGGGACATTAAAATTAAACATAAAATAGAGACCAGACTTGAGAACTCCCCAAGCAGACAAAACCATTTAAGCCATGTAAGCAAAACTGCATCTGGCTTATTTCGTGAACAGAAGCAAAACTTGCGAGGTTACTTTTTATAAATGCCTCTGACAATCATAAAGGAAACTTAAGTCATGTTCTTAAAAATAGTAGGAGATAATCACTCTTCTTTTTCTTTGTTGACCCCCTTCACACATTTCTCCCACCCCCCACCCCCACCTCTGGCAACCACTAGTCTGTTGTCTGTATCTATGAGCTTGGTTTTGGTTTTTATAGATTTCACATATAAAAAAGATCATAGTGTATTTGTCTTCCTCTATCTGACTTATTTCACTCAGCATAATGCCCTCGAGGTCCATGATGTTGTCACAAATGGCCAAATTTCATCCTTTTTATGGGTGAATAATATTCCATTGTCTATGTGTATGCCTATGTGTGTGCGCGCGCGTGGGTATCACAATTTCTTTATCCATTCATCCTTTGATGGACACTTAGCTTATCTCCATATCTTGGCTGTTGTAAATAATGCTGCAGTGAACGTTGGGGTGCATATATCTTTTCGAGTTAGTGTTTTCTTTTTCTTCAGGTAAATACCCAAAAGTGGAATTGCTGGATCATACGGTAGTTCTATTTTACATTTTTTGAGGAATCTCCATACTGTTTTTCATAGTGGGCTGCACCAGTTTACATTCCCACCAACAGTGCACAAGGTTTCCCTTTTCTCCACAGCCTTGCCAACCCTTGTTATTTCTTGTTGTTTTGATAATAGCCATTCTAACAGGTGTGAGGTGATCTCATTGTGGGTTTGATTTGCATTTCCCTGATGATTAGAGATGCTGAGCATCTTTTCATGTAGCTGTTGGCCATCTGTATATCTTCTTTGGAAAAATGTCTGTTCAGGTCCTCTGCTCGTTTTTTAATTGGATTGTTTGTTTTATTTGCTATTGAGTTGTATGAGTTCTTTATAGATTTGGGATACTAACCCCTTATCAGACAGATGACTTGCAGATATTTTCTCCCATTCCGCAGATCGCCCTTTCATGTTGCTGACAGCTTCCTTTGCTGAAGCTTTTTAGTTGGATGTAATTCCACACATTTGTTTTTGTTTTTGTTGTCTCTGCTTTGTGTGTGAGATCCAAAAAATCATTGCCAAGACTGACGTCAAGGAGCTTACCGCCTATGTTTTCTTCTAGGAGTTTCATGGTTTCAGGTCTTACATTCAAGTCTTTACTCCACTCTGAGTTGACTTTAGTGTATGGTTTAAGATAAGGGTCCAGTTTCATTCTTTTGTATGTGGCTATCCAGTTTTCTCAACATCATTTCAGGAGAGACTGTCCTTTCCCTATTGTATATTCTTGGCTCCTTTGTCATAAATTAACTGACCATATATGCATGGGTTTATTTCTGGGCTCTCTATTCTATTACGTTGATGTGTGTGTCTGTTTTTACGCCAATACCATACTGTTTTGGTTACTACAGCTTTGTAATAGTTTGAAATCAGGAAGTGTGATGCCTGCAGCTTTGCTCTTCTTTCTCAAGATTGCTTTGGCTATTCAGAGTCTTTTGGGGTTCCATACAAATTTTAGAATTATTTTTTCTATTTCTGTGAAAAATGCCATTGGAATTTGATAGAGATTGCATTGAATCTGCAGATTCACTCTTAAGCAATTCGAGATGGGGAAACCTCAACCGCAACGCGCAGCCGTTGTAAAGGGGACACAACCTCTTCCTTTCCGTGTCATAAGCCACCCCGCGACGTCAAGTCCCGAGCCTCATACCCGTCTGCGAATCTGAAAGCTCCCAGTTCATGAACTGTTCCTATACGCACCATAAACTCTTACTAAGTAGGACCCATTGACTTGGTGGTTTTACTTTTGCTATTTCCGGAGTTTGGACAAGGCTAGGGCAGGATGGAGGAAACAAGGCCAAGGCCAGCGCAGGGAGAGGCCGAGCTCCAAGGGGCCGGGAACCCACAGCGCTGCCACCACCAGGTGAGTCGGGGACACCCTGCAGGGCAGGACTCAGTGAGCTGAGTCTGGACCCAGATGAGATTAACAGCCAGCTCTGGTCTCCTGATGGCGGTTGGGGGGGGCGTCCCCAGCTCAGCTCTGAGGTTCATCAGAGACAAAGGTGAATGCTGATGACGTGTCACGGCAGGCAGCTCGTTCAGCGCACAGAGCTTAAAAATAGTGAGACACCAGGCATCGGGGAGGTGAGCTGGTGACCAAAATTCCAGCTCATCGTACCAGAGGCAGGAACAGCCATTCTGGGGAGTCTGAAAGCACCACCGGTGGAAGGCAGGCTGCTGGGCCATCGCCCGTCTCTCCGGGTCAGTGTCTGCCAGAAACGCCACACCCTGCTCCAGGATGGGAAGACCGAGGCCCCAGGAGCATGCCTACAGGCTCGGTGCAGGGGTAAAAAGAGATGAGAGACAGTGACAGACACCCGCCCTGGAGGAATTCAGAGCCCACCTGCCCAGAGACACTCCCCTCAGTTTCCCTGGGTCTGGGCACCCCTCAAAGGGCCTTTACAACACCTTTCTTGTCAGTCCAGGGTGCAGGCCTTGGGACCAGCCAGCCTTTGTTCCAATCCTCCCACTGTTGCCTGGCAGCTCAGTGACCTCAGAGAAGTCACATCCCTATCCTGGACGTGCTTCCTCTTCCGTAAAATAGAGACCCTCCAGATCCCCACCACACGGCGTTAAACGCTCTATCCGCTGCGTGACGGGTGGGCGCGGTCCCTGGAATGCAGTGGGAGCTCTGACCGGCAGATCCCAGGAAGCAGGACCTGGGGAAAGTGCAGGATGGAAGCCGGGGAGGGGCGGAGGCTGCCCTGCTTGGTGCTGCCAGATAGGGTTTGTAGAATTCAATTAACTCTCACCGAAAAAGGAGGGAAGAAGTGAGCTAGGGGGACGACTGACTCACACTCCGAGCCCGATTCCGAGTCAGCTGACACTCTCTGGGCACCGTGCGCCGAGCACTTTCCCATAAACAACCCCAAACCAGGAAGGGGGCCGAGGCTCAGCGGCCGGGCGGGCAGCTGACGGGTGCAGTGACTCCAGGGCTGCAGGAATCAAGAGAAGGGACACCAAGGGGAGTGGGGGCTCCTTCCCGGCTCAGATCACAGAAGATGGTCTCCAGCCCATGGCTAGGGCTCCGTGAGGGACAGAGGACTGCGGTGGGGGCTCCCCTCCCTCCCACGCACCCCCCACCCCACTCGGCCCCACACTCGCCCGTCCACACCCTGGGAGGGGGAAATGTCACTGAGCACACAGACAGTGACCTGAGGCCCTGGATGTCCAGCACAGGCTTAGCTCCTGGGGGCTCAGGCTGCTGGGGAGACAGCAAAGAACTCCCGTGGGAGGCGAGAGCTGGGCAGCACCATGGGATGATTTATCCAGCCCTGAATGATCAAAGGGAAACCAAGGCCCAGACACGGGACATTACTTTCCAGGTCAGTGACAGAGTCAGAACCAGAATCCAGGACACCTCCCACCCCCGACCTGAGCCCCAGGTCCCCTGCCTCTCCAATGCCACGTTGGAAGCCTCATATCCAGGGGGAACTGAACTCAGCTCAGAGGGACATGAGAAGGTCCTAAAGCTGCACAGCGGGTCAGACGGAGCAATGAGGTGTCTGGTCTTCTTTCCCAGGACGCAACAAACATTTATTGAGCACTGACCACAGGCTGGGAACTCTCAGACCTCGTCCCATATAAACTCACATGTGGACACACGGTGGTACAAGAGCCACGGCCCGGCTGTCAGGGTCAAGTCCTGCTCCATTAGTCAAGTTATTTGATGTCTCTGAGCCTCAGTTTCCCCATTCCATAAAATGGGAATAATAATAGAACCCACCTCATGGAACAGTGTGATAATTAAGGGGATAAACCATGTAAATACTTAGAACAAGGTCTAAGGACAGCTACTTTAAAAAAATATATACCATTTGACCCAGCGACTCTGCTCCTGGGTGTGTACCCATGAGAAATGAAAACATACGTCCTCTCCAAAACAATTACATGAATGTTTATAGCAACATCATCCCTAACAGTCAAAAACCAACACAACTGTTCGTCAACTGAAGAATGGATAAATAAACGATGGTATGTCCATACAATGGAATATTATTGAGCAATAAAAAGGAATGAAGTATGACACACGCTACAACACGGAAGAACCTTGAAAACACGACGTGAGTGACAGAAGCCAGTCACAATAGGCCATATATTGTATGATTCTATTTGTACGAAACGTCCAGAGCAGACAAACTTACAGAGACAGGACGTAGACGAGCGGCTGGTCAGGGCTGGGGGGCGAGGCTAGGAAACGACAACTGATGTGTCCAGTCTTTCTTTTGGGCGAAAAAAAATGTTCTGAAATCGGGCCGTGGTGGTGGTTGCACAACCCTGTCACTATACTAAAAACCACCAAATTCTGTACTTTAAATGAGTGAACTGTATGGGATGTGAATTATATCTCAACAAAGCTTTTTGTAAAAGTGAAACATCTATATACTCTTGTAAAATAAAGTGTCCATCGCAACTTAGAGAGGAGGTGAGGGGGTCGGAGAGATCCAGAAATTGCCCGAAGCAGGGCCTGTGGCTCCAGGATGTCACTTCAGTCCAGGCTCCTTCCTGAAGCTTCTCCTGAGACCCAGTCCAGCCTGGACTCCCAAATATCCTGGGAAAAGCCTTCTTCTCTCCCACAGGACACACAGGAAGTTGGCCCTGCTGTCCCACCTAAGTCCTTCCAACTTCCTGAGGGATGTCATTCTGGGGAATTTGGGGTCAAGGCCAAGGTCACAGGAGACAGGAACCAGACCGAAGCTCAGGCCTTCTTTAGGGAGCCCCAGGAACGGGGTGGATGAAATAATGGCCTCTAGGACATGAGCTCACAGCTGACCTTGGCAAACCAACCTCATCTCTGGGGCTCTTGGTAAAATGATATTGGGGTACAGCTCTGAGGAAGGCTCTGGAAGTGGCATTTCCAAGACCCCAAGTAACTCTGAAATGAAGTGGCCTCCCCTCTCCCCACCTGCCACTCACCCCAGATGGCAGCCGGGGGGATATGGGGGAGCAGGCATCCTTGGTTGTTGGCTTGGGGCTCTGCAGCCTGGTCATCCCTGTGGTCCTTGGCAGAGGACCTTGGTGACAATACGTAAGACCTTTGGTCTATCATCAACCCAACACTGTCAGCAGGTCAGGCTGGTGCCCCTCCCACCCCAGGAAGGGGGCAGGCGAGGGAGGGACAAGAGCGCTACCAACCGGGGTGCTTCACTCATCCAGCAGGAAGGGTGCCGAACGTGACCCTGAGTCAACGCCCGGCTTCTGGGCAGCCCCCGCCTCCTACCCTGCAGACAGCCTGGCCGAGGGGGCAGGAGAGAAGGGCTCCCCTTCTGTCATCCCCGGAAGGCATCACCTCCATCTGTCTGGGGCTCCCGGCCAGGCTGTCCCAGCTGGAAGGACATGACCTCCTGTCCTCCTGCTCTCTGCTGGTACAACTGCAGACCACGTCCAGACACACTCCAGCCCCCTGCTAAGGAGCACTTGGGGACACAAAACCGCCGTCCCTTTTCCTGGCCAAGTGAGGAGGAGCAGACACGGAGAAACAGCAGATTCAGCCCGGAGCCCCAGCGTCCTCACTGGGACATCTGTCCACCGGGTTTGGTGCCATTTGTAGAAAGACCGACGGGGCCAGAGCCTCAGCCAGGAAGCCACACGTGTCACAGAGCTGACAGAGGAGGCGCATGTGTGTCCGCTGGGCCCTCTGCTTTTCCAGACCATCACCCACCTCCCTTGATCCCCAGGACGTCTTGGGGGAGGTGAGAGCGACCTTTCTGCACATTTTCAAATGGGGACAACAAGGTCCAGAGACAGGAAGGAGCAGCTTGCCTGGGGCCACGCGCAGGAACCGATCAGTGAAGTCACCGGATTCCGGCTCCTCCCTAATCAAATCCAGTCGCACCCTCACCTCCCCCCACTCCCAGCTCCCGTGCTGTTTCTTTATCTCCAAAGTGTCCCTTTCGGTTTTAAGAAACAACAACAGCTAAATCTTTACAGGGTCTTGTGCCAGGCACTTCCTCTTCTTGGAGCTTTATATAAATATGAGTACGTTAAATCCTCGTGTGAACCCTGAGGCATACAAACTATTTTAGTTCCATTATAAAGATGAGGAAGCTGAGGGTCTTCAACAACTCAGCCAAAGGCCCACGGGAACTGGCATCTGAGGTCTTAACACAGCGCAACGGTGCCGAGCACCTCTGAGGCGCAAGGCTGCACACACACACACACACACACACACCCCCAAAGATGGGCTGGGGTCCCGGGGCAGGCTCTGGGGTCCGCTCAAGTACACGGAACACAGATGCTGGCTGTCCACTGAGTCCAGAGCTGGGCTGTGCTCCACCCAGGGGCCACGCTGGGGGGCCAAGGGGACAGGTTGCAATCTGTCTTGAGCAGCCAGCTGCCCTCAGTCCCAGCCCCAGCCGAGCGGTGGGAGCAGGTTGAAGCCGGCTTGGAGCTGGCAGCCTTGGCCGCCCCACTGCGAGGGGTGGCTCCAGAGACCCCTGCCAGAGCGGCCTGCAAGGCTGCAGCGTCTCTCCCGGCAGGAGGGCTGACTGGGCAGAGGTCGGGCCAGGGCCTCCTTCTCCCGTCCGCCCTGTGGCCCAAGCTGCCCCAAGCCCACAGTGGGGGCAAAGCTGGCCCCCACAGGGGAAGTCACTCCGCTATCTGGTCTCCAGGGACTGGCAGCCCTGCGGATGGATTGGGGAGCCATGGGACCAGGTTCCGTCTTGGTGGCAGCCCTGACCTCTAGGAATGTCACTGTGGGTCTTTGGGGCAGGCATCAAAGCCAGCCAGGAGCATGACCCTGCGGTGGGAAAGCCTCCCGTGCCTCACACCAGCCCGTGGGCTGCAGAGGAGCCCCATGACCTCACCTGGAAATGCCTCTGCTTCCAAACGCCCCCTTTGTTAAACGGTTGAGACACGATTCCACCAGCAAGCAGCAACCATAGATGCCGTTACAGCGGACAGCAGCTGCCTCAGGTTCGAGAATCTCATTTCAGTGAGGAGAAGGCTGTGGACTTCACCCCCCAGCCCCCAGCCCCTCCCCGACCGCGGGACCCAGAGAACAAGGGAGCCGGACACAGAGAAGAAAAATGGAAAGATAACCACACAAAGGCAGGGGAAAAAAATCATTCACAGCCTCTCTTGACCTGCCAAGGACTTTCTCCACGTCTTTCCCTGGGCTGGAGGCCCAGATAAGGAAGCAGCCTTCTTGCAGCCTCTGCGCGGCTCTGCCTGGGCTCCGCTCAATGGGCCATCTGCTTCAAGGCCTTTCTGCAAAAGCTTCAAAAGTCCCATTTCTCCAGGGAGCTGGAAGCTGGGAAGGCGTCAGCCCCAAACAATAGGAGAAATTTATTGGAGACCAGGGCTGCCGGGAGGCCGGCCGTGCAGGCAAACGGCTGGATGCTCTCCGAGATACAAAGGGTTATTTAATGCGGTAAATCCGAAGGCTCCTCAGAAGTCAAGAGCTCCCGGGGGAGGCCCCACACTCTGCAGCCTTCCTTTTCAGAATCACTGGCCCCCCTCCATCCCAGGTCAGACTTATTTCCCGTCCTTTGCCACCGGGCAAATATTGACTTTCTTTCACCCGCAGCGTTGCCAATGGAGCTGAGAGCAGCGGGCGGGCTATTGTCTCCTTCCTCCGCGAGGGCAGGGCCAACTGGGCCAGGCCGGGCAAGAAAGCCAGGGAGGGGATTGCGCTCCCAGCAGGAACCCCTGAGTCTTTCTATCTTTGATTGTGTCTTTCTGGCCGCTCTCCCTTCCCAAGCCCATTTGGGTTTATTTCTCCACGTTTTGGCTCTCCTGCTGCCAGGTGGCATGTCCGACCCGAGAGAAGCAGCAGGCGCAGCTGGCAGACCTGGAAGAGCTGAGCCTGGGAGGCAGGTCCCTAACAGGGGGCAACCTGATGGGCATCCTTGCCCGGCCCGGGTCCTCAGTGTTCTGACCCGTGCCGTGGGAGGGCCAGCCTCCACAGTCCATCTCGGTGTCTAGGCCAGGGAGCTCCCTCCTCCCCATGACCCACGGCCTGTGGCTGCAATCCGGGCATTTTCCCTCGTGCTCTGCCTTGAGACGAGATGGAAAGCAATTGCTCAGGGCTTCACGGGGAGAGTGGGAAGAGCCAGGGCGAGGCCCACAGGTGCAGGCACAGCCGCTCCTCGTGCTGACAGGCCCTGCGAGACTCCCCCTCTCCAAGCCTGTTTCCCCACAATCAAAATCAGAGACTGGATGAGATGAAGGCAAAGGTCCCTGTCAGCGCCCCTGCCGTGGTTTCCCTCGCCTGCACACCGCTGCGGGCGGGACGGAGACCTCAGCACAGCCCTGTCCTCACGGCTGACCTTGACCTCAAGCCTCCCGGCTTGTCCTCCTCATAACGGGGCCTCCTCTCGGCCTCCGTGCTTCTCTGTGACAGACGAGGACCGTGCACGCAGACTCCTGCAGCCTGGAGTCAGGGCACAAGGCACAGTGGTGACAGCTGCAGGACCGTGGACTCTGTCCCCGCCCTTCCTCTCACCGGAGCCCCCTCTGCGACGTCACAGAGCCTTACAAAGCCCATTCCTTTTGCAGCACCCAATTCAAACCAAGAACTCCTCACATTCCAGGAGTTTTATGTAAACCGTCCCCACATAATCTTCACAAGAACCCAAGAGGTAGGTAATATCATTCCCACGTCACAGACGAGGGAACTGAGGCTCAGAGAGGTTAAGTAAGTTGCCCAAATTCACACAGCTAACAAGGAAAGGGAGCCAGGACGAGAACCGGGATCTGCCCCTCTGCAAAGCTTGCCCGTAACCCTCAGAAATCTTCCTGAGGAGACGGCATCGCCTCTCCCCCGGTTGTCTGCGGACTGTGACGAAGGGGCAGCGAGCGCCGATGCCCCAATAGCTCCTGCCCGGCCCCCCCAGCCTCACAGAGCCCACAGGGCAGCTGCACCCTGCCCTCCTCCACCCCCACCTGGAGGCAGACGCGCCCCTGGCTCCGGGCCTCGGTTGGCTCATTCTGGGCGGTTCAGGGAGCGAAGTAAAAGGCCCACTTGTCCCAGCCGCAGAAGGGCCCGGGGTGTGGCAGGAGAAGTGCAGGCAGGAGGTGTGAGGGTGGGGGGCCGTCGGGCGGTTTCTCACCTGTGAAGCTTCTGCTGCAGAACGACGGCACCGTTGGGGAGACGCGACAGAGGGGGGCGGAGGCCGGGCTGCCCCCTGTTCTTTGGGAAGCTCCAGAAACCGTCGGGAGCTCGCACGCGAGTCCACAGAGCTCTCCCTGCCCCTCAGGGCTGCCTGCTCCCTGCTCCCGGCAGGCCTTTGTCTGTATTCTTGCAGCTGCTTCCTCTGACCGGGGACTCAGGCTCAGCACGGGACCACGCAGTTCACGTGTTTCTTGTTTAATCCTCACATCAACCCTCAAATCCCACCACTACTATCGTTTCATTTTGACAACTGAGTAACTGAAGCTCAGAGATGTAAAGTAACTTGCTCAAGGTCACACAGCTAACAAACCAGCAGAGAGCCAGGGTCTCCTGAGGATTCACTCCAGGGCTCTGCGAGGCCTTGAAAGTGGCCCCGTTCACACAGAGTGTGTTATCTCAAGTTGTCTCCACTCTGGGGACAGAACGGGGGTGCACTGGGAATTCCTAGACACCGCCTGCCACGTCACCCCACCAAGCCCCTTTTCCAATACTCAGACGTCAGCCCCGAGCCTCAGCCACAGTCCTGCAGGCTTGGACGCACCCTGGGAGGGTATCTGGTCCAACACTCTCCCCGGATGGCTGAGCAAAACAAGACAGGGGCCTGCCCAAGGTCAGGCAAGGTCACACAAATTGGAGGCAGAGCCTGGAATTAAACTCAGGCCTCTTATCCTAACCAGGACTCTTCCCACAACACCCGAAGCCTGGTGAGAAGCTATTGTTGCATCTCAACTGAAGACACAGCCAGAGCCACCCCGAGAAGGAGTGAGACCAGACTTGCCTGTGGCAAGCGCGGTGAGGTGAGCAGGGGCTGCTCTGGCTGTTGTGGCCGAGACGAACATCCCTCCAGATCCCCCTTGTCCCAGGTGGAGGGGGCCCAGCCTAGAGGCAGCTGGACAGCATGACCTTGGGAGGCCCTTGACATTCCCCCTTTAACCCCGGGGCCTCCTATCCGGCACTGGGGACCTTTCCCCAGGAAAGGCTCCACTCCTGCCAGGACGCACCAAGCTGGAAAGCCAGCTGTTCTTGCCAGGGCTGGAGATTCTGAGAGTGGGAAGGGAGGCTGGACCAGCGGCTGAGGGTCTCCCAGCCCTGTCACCCTTCTTGGGGGAGGGGAGCCGCAGTTTCTCCGAGGCTAGGTCACAGAGGGAAGGCTGCTGGAGAGGCTGCAGCCACCCCAGCCCTTCGGCCGCCTCACCTGCATGCAGGGGCCAGAGGTGTCAGGCCTGGGAGAGACTTCGGATTCGTGAGTTCCAAACCCCTACTTTCCAGATGAAGATACTGAGGCCCAAAGGGGTAAGTGAGCTGACCAAGGTCATAGCCCGGGTCGGAATGGAAGCTCCCTGACTCCCCCTGGAACGCGGGGCGCACAGCGCCGCTCTGCCACCCTCCTGCCCAGGAAGTGACCGCTGAGCTCCTGGCAGAGGCCAGCGATCAAAGGCGGCAAATTCCTAAACGCCACGGCTCGGGGCAGGCGCGCCCGTGGGCTTGTTCCCTCGACCACCCTGCCCCCACCTCGTCCCCATTCCCGACTGGGGCCCCACGCGCCTCCATCACCCTGAGGTTCAGAGATGTGCAGCAGCTTGTCCAAGGTCACACAGCAAACTGAGTGGAACATGCGCCTCTACTGCCCTGTTGCCCCTCCCCACCTCCCACCCTGGTCTCTCCAAGCTCCGCCGCTTGCCAGAATCCTTGGGACCATGCTTCCAACAATGCCCCAAGCCGCGGCGCTTGCTGGAGTATGAAAAAGTTTCAGAGAGAGGAAGGGGCGGAAGATGCCGCGGCGCATCCCAGCCCCGGACGGCTGCGGCAGGGTGGAGGCGCGCAGGGGAAGCGAGCTCCGCGCACCGCCGATGTCCCCAACGCACCCCACCGTGCGCCAGGGGGCTCGCGAGCGCCGCGCGGGGCCCTTCCGTTCATCCTCACTGCGGCGGCAGCGGGGGGTCCCGCGCGCCCCGCACCCACTTTGCAACGCAAGCCGCGCCATCCGCCCTCCTCCAAGCCCCTTCCCGCGTTCTCCGCGGCAGGCGCCTCGGCTTCCCCGCTCGCCCCCGGTGCCAGCGCCGATGCACCGCGGCCTCCGTCGCCTTCTCCCCGTCCGGGCTCCCCGCGAGGAGAAACGGGGCGAGGGGCTTCCGGATCGTCCAGGCACCTCCCCCGGGACTAACTGGATAATCCCGACGCAAGTGGATCTCCGGAGCCCCGTCCCCCACCGCTGGCTCCGTCCTGCACTTAGTTTATCCGGCCGTGAGCGCCGAGCCCAGAAGTCGGAGCGTCCCAGTTTGGCGACCCCGCATCCGCCCGTGCCCCTGGCCCTCGGGGGCCGCCCCGCTCGGACTAGGGGCTGCCCCGCAGGGTGTCCCCGCCCGGCGCTGCTCTTACCCGGGGACGCTCCGGGCGTGGTGGGGCCTGCGCTCGCGGAGAGGGCGCAGGCGGGACGGCCGGGTCCCGAAGTCCGGGTCCGCTCTTCCCGCGCGCGGCCGGCCGGCAGCTGCGGTCTCCTCCCGCCCGCCGGCTCGCGCGCTCTGCAGTAGTAACAACCTGGCCCGCTTCCCCGCCCGCCGATCGAGATGCTGCTCACATCCGCCTGCACACGGCGCGTGCCGGCCCTGCGAGGGCGATCCCCGCCGGCCGCGACGCACGGCCCCGCCCCAGGCTATCCCCGCGCGCGGTCTCCGGGCCGGCCGGCCGGGGTGGCAGCTGCGCGCGAGCGAGGCGCGGCGGGGAGGGTCGGGCCCGCGCGCCCCGCGAGAAGTTTGGGGTGGGCGGGGCCGGCCTCGCGCCCCCGGAGCCGCGCGGGGCGCCCGGGCAATGCGGAGGAGTCCCCGCCCGCCGCGTGCGCTCCTGCGACACTCCCCACCCCCGCCGCCCGCGGGCTTCGGGAGCCGCTCGGCGCGGGGACCGGCTGGGGGAGGGGCCGCCCGGCTGTCGGAACCGGCCAGCGGGTAGGAGGGAGCGATCTGCTTCAGGGGGTAGGAGGAAGGTTTTCCTGAGTCGAGAAAAAAGAAAAGGGAGGGAGTAGAGGGGGGCGGAGACAAAACGGCGACGCTGGAGGGGCCGGGGAGGTGGGCGTGTTCGGCCCGGAGAGCCCCGACAGCCCGCGGCCCCAGCGCCGGCCCGGAGGGTGCAGTCAGGACGGGGCCCGGGGCTGTCCAGGCCTTTTGGGGAGCGGAGACAGCGGGTTGGAGGGGCCCCCGGGGGACAGGAGGAGGTGTCTGCCGGCCCAGGACCCTGGGCCTGGCTCCCGGACAGGAACCCACCGAAAGGGCTCTGCTGCGATAGGGACCCGGCACCCCCACCTGCCACGGCTCTGCTCTCCCCTCTAGGAGAAGGCAAGGCCTCGACTCTCCCTGAGCACGGAGCGGCCTGGCGTTTGCCACACTCAGGAGGCAGGAGGGGCACGCAGGACTGTGAGCCTGGGTGTGGCTGGCTCCTGTGTCTGGGTGTCCCCCTCGAGCCTCATCCTTAATCCACAACACCTGCCCACCCTCCCCCCCCCCCCCGCAAGACCTCAGGACCCCAGCTCAGCTGGTGGAATTTCTGCCGGTGTCAGACCACCAGCCATCCCTGCCCTCACCCGGTCTGCCTCCCCTTCAGCCTCAGCAGCAGCTCCCGCCTGTTCCGCACACTCAGAATCATGAATCCAGTTTGGGGTTCAACCCAGGATGTGACACTCCCCCCCAAAAAAAATCCCATATGTGTGTGTGATGGGAAGGCCCCTCTAGGGCCTTCCAGGGCTTCTCATCCCACCAAGTCTGAGGAGCCCCAGGAAGCCCCAAAACCTGCAGCAAGTGCCCCGTGTCTCCCCTCCTCCCCGCGTCCCGGCCCGCGACAGCCACATCACTCCAGCGGCCTCTGCAGTGCTGCAGCGCGCGCTCCTCCTCGCCGGCCGGAGCCTCTCTTTAGAACGCGGCAGCTCCAGTCACGGACCCTGGTCTGCAGGAAAGCTGACTCAGGGATTTCTAGGCTGCAAGCCGAGTGCGGGAGTGTGCGCCACCGTGTAGCGGGGAGGGTGTCGGGAAGGGGCGGTTTGTGCGTGTTTGCATGTGGGCTAGACTCTCCCGTGAGCTCTGCGGACCCCTCACCGTTCTTCAGATGGAAAGGGGGCCTGAGGGTGAAGGGCTCAAGGTCAGATGCTCAGCGGGAGGGCACGGGCTCTTCCCCCAACCCCTGCACACCCCACCCCCTGCGCTGGCCTCCCACACTGAGGGGGCCTGTCATCTGGCTGCTCCTCTGCGCTTTCTGCCTGGGGGAAGAAACACTTCGAAATCCCCCCAAAGCTTCTTTCTCCAGGAGGAGGGGGAAAGGGGCTGAAAGTCCAGCAGGCTGGATTCAGGCTAGACTTTGGGATGTCCTGATGCCAAGGGCCCGGGACGCCATCCTGCCTGCCAAGGAAAGTGCCTGCCTTAATGACCGGAATGCGGAGCCGGAGCCGCCTGGAGGAAGGGGGGGTGGGTGAAATGACCCCCGTGGCTCCTGGGTAAAAAGGATCAGAATGTACCTGCGCCTGAGGCAAAGCTGCCTCCAGGAAAATAGGGTCTAATTACAGAGAATAAAGCCTTTACGTAAGACTCAGTCTGCTCCTTCTGGAAGAACCTGCATGTAATGTGTGCTCCCTCTGTGCGCCCCTCCCCCGGGGAGGACGCAATTCTCATGGGGTCGGGAGCGTCAGGTGACGTTTGCACGCAGGGGGCTGGGTCAAGGTGGGAGGTGGGAGCCCTGGTCCCAGGGGCAGCATCAGCCCTGCTTGCTCAGAGCCCCTCAGGCCCCAGAGGATCCCCTCTGGGGGTGGGAACAGCAGCTTACAGCCTGGACTTCACTCGATCCTTCTGAACAATCCGTGAGGCAGCAAGGCAGAGGAGGCCAATTCCTCCCCACTCGGGGCTCAGGAAGCCCCCCAAGAAGGGTGACTCACCCAAGGCCCCATGTTGGGTTTGGTGCAGAGTTAGGGTGTGGAGCTGGTCTTGTGACCCCAAGGCTGACCCTCCCTGAGTCTTCACGGGCTGGGTGCACAGCTAGCTGTGCCCTCCTCCCCAGGGCCTCCTTATGCCTGGTTGTCCCTCCAACCTTGTCTTCTGCTTGCAGGCTTCCTCTGCCAGCATCTCTAGATGCCGGCCCCCACCCACCCTCCAGCTTCACCAGGCACTGCCCACTCCCTCACTCTCTGTGCTTCAGTGGCACCAGTCGCCTGGCCGGTTCCCAGAGGGCTGTGCTCTTTCCTGCCACAGAGCCTTTGCACATGCTGTCTCCACCCACGTCACCATGCCAGCTCCCTTCATCCTACCAGACTTAGCTCCCTGACCCCTCCGTGTCCTCTGTCCTTCTCCTCTGCAGCTCATTTCTTGTTCATAGCTCTCCCCACACTAGACTGCGAGCTCAGGAGGGAAAGGACACCTCTGCCCCTCCAGCCCACTGCACAGAGCAAGCTCTCGGTAAGTCTTAGTGGTTCTGAGGCTCAGCGCCCTCAAATCCTGGCGCTACCACTTGTATCTGTGTGACCTTGGGCAGGTTATGTAACCTCTCTGACCCTCGACTTTCTCACCTGCAACATGTGGATTTTAATTATGAGACGGGGTTACTGTAAGGACTGAAGGATGCTGTTTGCATGGAGACCAGCGCAGTGCCTTCCTGGCACATCCGTGTTGGTCCTGCTGGTAAAGAAACAAGAGCTGAAGGTGTAAAGGATGGACATACTCCTCTGAGCTTCCCCCTAGGCATAAATGTCTCTCCTGTCCTTGCCCCCAACCCTCTCCTCCTCCACCCTACCTCACTTCTTGGCTCCTAAAACCCTAACTTCTCCCTTCAGCTTTGGGCACAAGTGAATGGCAGCTGCCACTGGCTCACTCCCTCCCCATCAGCTCCACAGCCCACACGGACTCTCTGCTCCATGCCTTTGCTGGCCTCAGGTGTCAGCACCGCCCGCGTGGCTTGGAGCCATGGAGCCTGGCCTTGGCAGAGTGTGGTGGGGGTGGGGGCGCGGGTGGCGGTGACTGGCCAGGGTTGCCTCCTTCATGATCTCCATCAGCATCTCCCCAAAAGTCACCTCCAAATAAGAAGTCCCCTCACCCCCCTCCAACGGGATGGCAGCTCCCACACAGAAATTCTGGAGCTGCCCAGAGCTCCGGGCTCTGATCCAGCCCTGCGGGACCAGGCTCCTGTTGCCCATATGTTCCCAGGGCCCTCGGGGAGGGTCCTGTGAGAAGAGGTGCTGGAAGAGGACGTCAGTCTCCCTGGACTGTCTCCTGCCTCTCCCTCTGAGTGACCTGGGCCCCAGGGAAGGCTGCTGCTGGGGAGGGGACAGCACTTCCCCCAGCCCTGCTCCGGAGCCCCCACAGCTGGTGCCCTGAAGGGGCTGCGAGGGCAGCCTCGCAGGAACCCCGCCCCAGCTGAGCGAGGGGAGAGGGAGAGAGAGAAGGCAGGGAGGGGAGAGGCGAAGAGAGCACTGGAAAGGCTGCTCCAGCTTTTCACCTTGACCGAGTTCCCTCCCCACTTCAGACCTGTCCAGACAAAATAATGACTCTCAGTTCTTCCCTTCCAGAAACGCAGCAATTGGATTTCTGCAAAGAGCTTCTACATCCTGCAGTCACCACCAGGAGCATCACCAGTGCCCGTGAGACCCTCCCCTCCCCCTCTGCCTCCCCCTCCCCTGTCTCCTCCTCCCCCTCCTCCTCCCCTTCTCCTCTTCCTCTCCTCCCTCCTCCTCCCCCTCCTCCTCCCCCTCCTCCTCCCCTCCTTCTCTTCCTCTCCTACCTCCTCTCCTCCTCCTCCCCTCCTCTTCCTCCCCTCCTCCTCTCCGTCCTCCTCCCCTCCTCCCTTTCCTCTCTTCCTTCCTCTCTTCTCTCTCCCTCCTCTCCTCATCTTCCTCCTCCTCTGCCTCCTCCATTTCCCTCCCCTTCCTCCCTCCCCGCCTTGTCCCTCCTCCTCCTCCTCTCCCTCCCCCCTCTCCTGCCCCCCCCACCCCCAGCTTCACTGAGCAGTCTGCGCAGCAGCCCTAGTGCTTGTCTGGGGCCATGAGACCGAATCCTTGGATCTTCACAGCAATCCTGGGTGACAGGTGGTTAAAGCCAGACTGTTGGATGAATCCTGGCTCTGCCACCTGGCCGCTGTATGACCCAGGCAAGTTACTAACCTCTCTGTGTCTCGTCTGTAAAATGGGAACAAAAGTGGTGTCTGCCTCATACAATCGTGACTATTGCGCAAGTTAATCCAGGTAAAAACTTAAAACAATGTCTGGGATATAAAAAGTGCCGGCCAATGTTAGCTTTACTTTGATCTTATCTCTATGCTGCAGATGAGGAGGCTGATAACAACAGCGACTGTTTATTTCACGCCTACTGTGTGCCAGGAGATACAGGGCGTGGGAGGCGGGAGTCCGG